TGGCAGGTCGGCATATAGGAATCCCATACAGGTTCCCCGCCCTGTTACAAGGCGGCGGACAAGCCCACAGAGGGAAGGAGGCGGGTTCTCCGGGTCATAAAGATAATAATAACTGCTTGCTGGGATTAAAGACTCGTCCTGTGGCTGAGACCTAGACTCAAAGGTAGGATGTCGGGAGGCTGACTCTCTTTTCAGCTCCATGTGAGGAAACGCGCATGCATGGAGCAGGCTGCCTGTCAAGCAGCTGCCTCAAGAGCTTAAGGGGAAGTGGAGCCTTCATGTATCTGGAATGCTGACTGTGAAATGTGTTCACACATGCTAACTAGACCTGTGTCTCAAGCAGGTTAGGTTATATCCAGTCGGAGATCCCCACAGTGTTTGAAACTTTTTTAAACTATTCATTTCCTAATCTAGAAAAAACTGGGAGACTGCAGAACCAGACTGTAGTTCAACATCTGCTTCTTCTGTTTTTCCTTTGATGATCCATTTAAAACCTCCAGTCCAGTGTGCTGGCAAAATGAGTAGTCTCCAAGTAACAATACTCAGTGAGTTTTCCATGGTCTGTTATGAACATCAAGGTGGAATCAAAGGCTAGAAATTGGTTTTTTGTTTCTTAAATTTAATGAAAACCGGGCCTCACCAGTGGCGCAGCGGTTGAGCGCTGGGTTGCGAAGTTGCCCGCAGCCTCTGCAGTGCCGGTTCGATCCCTGGCTGCTCCCTGGCCGCCGGGGGAGGGTCCCACATGGCATGCAGACCTCTCCTGCCGCCCAGTGCTCCCCTCAGCAGTGTACTTCGTCACTCTGCCTGTTCTGTTCCCCGCTCTGGTGAATTCTCTCACCCTCCTGCGCTTCTGACTGTACCCAGTGCTTGTATAAATAAATAAATAAATAAATCTAATAAAAAAAGAAAGAAAAAAAATTTAATGAAAACTGTCCACCCTTTTTCTTGATTGTAATTTCGAAGGGACCAGTCTCGGTGTCCCACGTGCATGATTTTTATATGCCTTGAACTTGCTCCTCTATCCCTGTATTTCTTAACAGTTGGCAAATGAAGAAGTTCCCCTCAGGGAGGTCCTTGTGCAGACTCTTTCAGGGACTCAGAACCAGGCACTTACCCTGTGACTCTGCTTTTTAGGTTCTCATCAACTGCCAGCACCCACAGTTGGGCCTGGGGGAGACCTGGCCAAGGTGCAGCATGCTGTTGGCATGCTCAGCAGCTCCAGAGCGAGGGCTACTGAGGCCTGGGACTGCCTCAGCCACAGTGTGACCTTTGTGTGCTGCGTTTGTGTGCTGGCATCTGAGCGAAGATATGGAGCCATGGGGTTTCTCTGAGCCCTAGAAGACCTGGTCGCCATGGAGAGGGAGTATGAAGAAGTAGCAAAGACTAACAGTGGCGTGGATGGATGTGAGGGGTTCTGGGGTCCTAGCATGTACAATGTCCCGTCTCCCCAGTTTTGTGTGTCTCATTTCTCTGTATCCCTTTAACCCTCACAAATACAATTCGTGTTGCACGTGGTACGGAACTGTGTGATGTGAATCCTGCCCAGGCAGTGGCCTTGTCTTCCCTCCTAAGCCCTGACCCTCCTTGTAAGTGCAGGGGCAGGTTGGGCTTGCCTGTCTCAGCTGCAGACCGCCCTGACCAGTGTGCACGGTCTGTGGCCTTGGCCGTGGTGCTTTGACTTCACGGTGCTGCCTTTGCCTGCCTTCACCCAGCCCAGCTCAGGAAGGATAAACCTTGAGCTTCTGGTGAGATGTGTCCCCTCATTCTGGGACACAAAGCCCATCTCAATTTCAGTGCCAAGAGGGAATCCAGCCTTTTTCCCTTCCTCCCTCCTCATGGCCAGTAGAGGGCGGTGGGGGTTGAATTCCCAGGCCTCCCTGCAGCCTCCATCTTATTTAGGGCTGCAGCTGATACCTCACACAGAAGGAACAGAAAGGGTCAAGAACAGGGACTCCGCTGGACAGGAGTCTAGTCTGGGGCCGTGTAGTTCTGAAAGAACTTTCAAAGGTGCCTGTGACCTTCAAGGCAAGATCCTCAAGTTGGTCTTTCTTTCCTCAAATTGGGTTGGGTAAAGGGATAAAAAAGTGATGAGGAAAAGAACTTCAAGGTTCCAACCATTTGTGGTCAATGTGTAATCTTAGAGATCAGTCAGTAAAAGTAGCTCAGGTTAAACTGAAGGGTGTCCTTTAGCACAAACCAAGTTAAAAGAAGCTTCTCTTGGACCAGACTTTGCCTATGGACTGGCCGTACCTGCTTTGACATTCAGTTCTAGCCTATGACTCAGGATGCCTCTGGTTTATTCAAGCACCAAGGAGCCTTGTACTGATGGAAATGTCACCAGTGGCCTTGTTTTCAGTTCTGATGCTAGATGCTAAACAGCTCATCCCCACCTTCTGAGGATGGAGTGAAAGAAGGCCAGGGCATGTGATATGGTTTTGGTCCTGAATTCTGCCATCAGGTACTAGCATCATGGCAGAGGCAGTGGGCATTGGTCCAGATACACTTGTAAGTGGGCAGTTGGAATTTCTGGCTTCTTGTTTTTACTTAGATAGAAAGTTCATCTTTTATCCACTTAGGTGACTGACAAGAAAGGAGTAAGAATCTGCAAGACCTTGGCTCTCCTGGAGAATGAAAAGAAGCATCTAATGAGTCCGAGCCCAGCCAGCATCCTGGAGGGCCCACTGAGGCTGCTGTAGTCAGTTCTCTGAGTCAGCACCTATTGCCCCTGCTCTGAGCAGCAGGAGCCCTAGGATCCTCCAGGTGCCACCACCCAGGGGTCCCCCACCCACATATGGGACTTGAAACCCACTTGCCACCTGAGTCCCACCCTAGGGCAGAACAGAGGAAGAGGAAGCTGTGAAGGGGTCGTGGCACATGGTGACGTAGATGCGGAGACACAAACGAACCATGACCCGGGCAGGCAGTGTCCAAGGGGCTGATGGCTGAATGGATTTTTGTGGGCTGGCCAGGAGTGGACCGGGCAGAAATAAGGGGGCAGTGGATGCTTTCCAGCGCCGGGGTGAAGGTGCAGCAGGGTGGCCAGAACCAGGTGAAAGCTCCCCAGAAGGGGGCCATGTGCTCATGGCCTAGGGTCTCCTGGCCCAAGGACAGGTTCCCTGCAGAGGGAAAGGACTGGTCTCTCTAGCACATGAGCCTTTGCGGGCAGAGCCTATGTTTAGATGACCTCCACATTGCGCCGCCCCCAGTCACACTCAGAATCCCAGTAAGCTTGAGGCCCGGGGTTTGAGGTCTTGAACTGCTGAATGCGGAGTTAAGGGCAGAGAGAGACATTGACCCCCTAAGATCTTAGGAAGCCGGTAATTAAGGTTCAGGTTCGAGTGATAGCTACAAATGACGGTGGTCACCCATGTCCCCTGCGCCTCCCTCCCCACCTCACAGTGAGGCTGGCTGGAGGTGGGGCACATGGTGACTTGTGTTCCTGCTCCACTTCCTCCTGCCCCACTCGAGTCAGTTTCACTGAGCGGCCGTTTGCTGAGAAGGAATGGCAACTGCCCTCTTCCCCCAGCAATGAACAGCCACATCCCAGAAAGGGCAGAGCAGAGGAGTCTGTGTCAGTTTGGTTGGGTGCTAAGGTGTCAAATTGCAAGGGCTGCAAGGGACCCAGGAATCACAATCCAGAAAAGATCAGGCTCTGGGGTCAGCATGGCTTAACAACTGTGAGGTTTCCCAGACCTGCCTCCTTGTGGCACCCACTATTGCTTACACTGGTAATACAGGGCCTCCCTGAGCCGGACCATGGGTCCAGCGATCCTGTGGCACCCCTGGAAGTCTAGAAAACTGGTATCACTCAATAATACATATTTTTTGATCTGTAAAACAGGGAACCCCTATAGTATGCTTCTGAGGATTAAATCAGATAACATATTCCCATAAGTTTGATGAACTAAAGTGACCCAAAAGCATGGAGTTGCTCACTCACTCCACAGAACCCACAAAAGTCCTTTGGGCAATGGACTTGAAGATAAAACGAGAACTCATTAGTCAGGTGAAGGTGCCCTGGGGGCGTTTGAAGGGACCTCTGAGCTGGTGTCACAGAAGAGGCAGCTGGTGTCACAGAAGAGGTGGTTCACACAGGAAGGAGTAAGGGGTGCAATCCAGGGTGGGGAGGATGTGGGTACCAGGGAACCAGGGGACCTTTGCTGGAAACTGCAATATCTTTTCTCCTTTTCTCTTTTAGGAACACTGAAAGGCTAATATTCATCCAGTGCTTACTAAGTAGCAAATGGTGCTTGAGATGCCCAACATACTTCTCACCTCTGAGTTCTCAGAGGGACCCTCTATGATGAGCCCCATTTTACCTGATGAGAAGACCAAGGTCCAGAGGTAAAAGTAAGTCCCCAAAGTCACTCAAACAATAAAAGACAGCTGAGCTTGAACCCTATCAGTCTGACGCTAAAAGCCATGGTTTTACTCACCATAAGGCCTCCTTCCAACAGGTCCCTTACTTGTCTCCACCCGTCGAAAACATCTCCTTCTAACACCACTTCCACTCCTCCTCCGTCTCGGCAAAGTCCCACTTCCATGAGCTCTTAGTGGGCTACGGAAAGTACTGCCAAGGGCGGTATTCATGATATATCCGGGCCTTGGTGAGCCAGAAATGCAGCCCAAGCCTCTGCATTCATTAATCCCAAAAGCCCACCAGCAAATTGGATAGGGCCAGAACAGAATGAGGTCAAAGAAGCATCTTGCTGGGCCTCCCTGTTGGGTGCAAGGGGTTAAGACGCAAACTATGAAGCAATCCGCAGCCACTGCAACACAAGTTCGATCCCCGGCTGTCCAGGGAGCTACCCACATGGTGCAGCAGACCTCTCCTGTCTTGCCTGCTGCTCCCATCAACAGTGTATTTCAGTCAGTCTGCCTGTTCTGCTCCCCACTCTGTCTCTGGTGAATCCTCTCACCCCCCACACCTCTGGCCTGTACCCCAGCTCTTGTATGCATAAATAAATAAATCTTGAAAAAAAAGAAGCATCTTGCTTTCTTGTAGGCAAGACAGATCAAGATTTTAATTTTCTATACTCTTACTGGTGTTATCTTCAAACCTGAACAGGGGCCACGTCTTTTGCATTTTCCTGCCAGAGGTAAATATGCCTGACCATGAGCCCGCCAACCTGACTGGCTTTTGCCACCAGCCTCACGCAGCTCACATTGTACCCCATACTCTTCAGAACTATCTCCTGATCCATCTGCCCCTCCAGGAGAGGGCCCAGCAAGATGAAGCTGCCGCAGTGCTGAGGCAGGCCCTCGGGGTCATAGCCCAGCTCCACCTGCCCCCTCTCCAGGGCGTGCTTCCCATCCACGATGGTCCCTGTCAACACCTGCACTCTCCTCAAGTTCGCCGGCTGGTTCAAAATGACGGTCAGGTGGCTCCCCCCACTGACATTGTAGGTCCAAAAGAAAGACTCATCCAGAGTGTAGGCCTCCCAGGGGAAATGGACACCAAAGACCTTCATGTCGGTAAATACAGCCCCCGGCGGGTTGTCAGGACCATTGGGGTATTTTGGAAACGCTGTGGCCTTCTGGCTGCCATCAAGGACAGAGTAGGAGATGCGGCGGTAGAAGAGGAAAGGCCTGGCAAGGATCGCATCCTTCTGGGCCAGCAGGGCACGGAAGTGAGGGATCAGCTGGTCCAGGGGCTTCTCCCTATAGAAAAGGAGGAGGAAGTGGGCCAGGAGTGGGAGGTCCCTGCTGTGGAAGAGTTTGCCAAGGAAGCCCACGTTGGAGAACTCCAGGAACACCCAGGGCTGGGACTTCAGGGTGTTCACCTTCCATTGAATGTGACTAATAAAGTTGGGGGCACAAAAGACATTGTCATCTAGCAACAGGAAGTAGTCAGAGAGCCTGGTGGCAAAGCTCATGAGGAAGGCGTGGTCTACATTCTGCTTGGAGTAGAACTTTCTGCGGTAGGCCCGGTCCCCGTCATCCTCCACGTTGGGGTAGGCATCAGATGGCGCGTGGATTAGCAGCAGCTGCCCTGCCAAGATCTGTGGGCTGAAGAGTTTTGAAATGTGGACAACGGATTCTCTGAGCCAGGTGAGGTCAGAGTCTGCCAGGTGGACCAGCACGGTGAGGCGTTTCTGCTCAGTCTTCGAAGAGGATCGGAACAGGGAGACCAGTGTGAACAAGAGGCTGCTTTGATTTGATCGCGCCACTGTGGAGATCCCCACAGTCAGCCAGGCTAAGGAGAGACAACACAGGGACAACGTGAGGGTACACAGGAGCAGAGGGTGGTGAGAAGGCCCAGGATGCTCTCTGGGAGGCTCTCCTGCATTTCTGCCCTCTCTGCTTCCCATTTATTCTCCCAGCTGGCACTGGAGTGATTAGATCCTGGCTACTCTAGGGTGGTCCTTGGCCCCGCAACCTCAGCCTCCTCTGAAAGCTTTTTAGAAATGAAGAATCTCGGTCCCTTCCTCAAGTCCAGTTGGGCAGAATCTGCATCTTAATACCACCCCAGGTGACTGGTGTACACCTTAAGTTTGGAGAAGCACTGACCTTCGTGAGGCCAAGTGCCTGTGAATCCTTCTGAATTGTTGGGGCAAATTTTTGTGGCACAGAATTTATGTGCTCAGCAAATGATAGCTATTATATAGCCGGTGCAATTCTTGTTTTTACCCAGTTCATGTCAAAGCTCTTCTTTTTTTAAAAAAATTTTTTTAAAGATTTATTTATTTATACAGCACTGGGGTACAGGCCAGAGGTGCAGGAGGGTGAGAGAATTCACCAGAGACAGAGCAGGGAGCAGAACAGGCAGAAGGACCAAAGTACACTGCTGAGGGGAGCAGTGAGTGAGACAGGAGAGGTCTGTTGCGCCATCAGGGTATCTCCCTGCCTGGCCAGGAATCAAACCAGCACTGCAGAGGCTGTGGACAGCTTCACAGCACTGTGCTCAATCCGCTGTGCCACCAGGGAGGCCCCAAAGCTCTCCTTTGAAGATATATTAGAAGCACATCTGCTGGAAGTCAGACACCAAGATTCTTGTCCCACTCCTGCCACACACATAGGCCCTTGAGCAAGTTCTGACCCACTAAACTTAAGGAGCAGGACTCCCTCTAATCCAGGTGTCCTAATCTAGTGATTCTGTCTTCCTATAAAATTACCTTCATCATGGACCTCCCTGGTGGTGCAAGGGATTAAGCACAGCACTGTGAAGCTATCCGCAGGCTTTGCAGCACCAGTTCCATCCCCAGCCAGGGAGCTGCCCACATGGTGCGGCAGACCTCTCCTGTCTCGCCCGCTGCTCCCCTCAGAAGTGTATTTCAGCGGATCCACCTGTTCTGCTCCCCACTCTACTCTGGTGAATCCTCTCATGCCCTGTACCTCTGGCCTGTGCCCCAGTTCTTGTATGCATAAATAAATGAATTTTTTAAAAAATAAATAAAATTACCTTCATCATTTCCTTCCTTTCTCATCCCTGGTATATAAATGCGATGGTGGGGAGAGCCTAGTCTTTCAGAGTCAAACTTTCCTGCCTCCTGTTCTCTTCCTTTTATCTTCTTCCTTTCCTCCCTCCATCCTCTCCTTCTCTCCCTTCCATTTCCCTCTCTCCCTCCTTCCTGTCTACCTTAATTCTCTTGCTAATTCCCATTCCCCTCCTTGGAACTCACTCTTTCTTCTCTGGTGGGTTGTCTTCATATATTTGAAGGTAATACTCTCCCAGTTTTCTGCTGGACTCGGGGTCTTCCTTCTGCTGTAACTGTCCCTCTACAGAAACAACAAAGGCAAACGATGCACCTTCTTTCATAAAAGACAGGTTGAGTCCCTGCAGGCTTCCCATTAGCTTTTCCAGGAAGGAGGTGGAGAGACTCAGTTTCCCCAGCACATCCTGAGGCTGTCTGACCATCGGCCAGAGCACCAGGAGTCGAGCAACATCTGTCCTCCTCTTGAATTTAACACCCATTTTTAAAACGCAGCTTCTTTATAGGCCAAAGGGTCCAGGTCCATACCTCAGCTGCCCGTGGGGCTTCCTGCTCTCAGGGGAAAATGTACAGGTGCACTTGAGTCTCTATCTGTCCACATCATTCCCACCCCATACCCCGCCCCCAATTCCCACACCGAGAGGAGGGGCTGCTACTTGTGCTCTGATGGCAATCTCCTTTTGCTCCTCTTCAATTTCCCCAGGGACTTTCAAAGTGATGAAGAGCCACAGGAACCCGATGCCCGCTGAGGTGAAGATGCAGCGCCTGATAGAACACCGCATGGTGTGGGTTGGATGTGTCTCCTGGAGCAGAGAGATAATAGGTATAGCCAGGGCTGTCCATCCAGTCCTCCCTGGGACTTCCCCTTTTGTCCCCAGAAGCCTTCTCCCACAGTGCCCCATATTCTAGACCTCATCACCATCATCGTGAACTCCTCTGTCCTCGCTCCTCCCAGGCCTGCTTCATTACCTGAGCTGAGAACCTTATTCCTGGCCCGAGGGAGGAAGCTCACCTGTCCTGTGGCCTTGCTGCCTTCTCGTGACAGGTTTGTTTGGAAATGCAGTTTCCTAAAGTTGGCCCTTCTCAAAATAGTGAGGGTCAGCTGGGGTTTTAATGATATGGCCCTTTTGCCTGAGAAAGCATATGGTCCCCATATGCTTTGGACCAACATCAAACTATGTATTAAAATAGCTGAAGTGGGACTCCCTGGTGGTGCAAGGGTTTAAGACGCAACCTATGAAACTATCCACAGCTTCTACAGCATGAATTTGATCCCCAGCCAGGGAGCCACCCACATGGCACAGCAAACCTCTCCTGTCTCGCCCACTGCTCCCCTCAGCAGTGTATTTCAGTCCATCTGCCTGTTCTGTTCCCCACTCTGCCTCTGGTGAATCCTCTTACATACACACCCCCACACCTTTGGCATGTACCCCAGTTCTTGTATGCATAAATAAGTAAATCTTTAAAAAATATAAATTAAATAAATGCACCAAAGAAGGCAGAAAAGTGAACATTTCTGGAGGTGTTACAAATACAACATCTTGGGGCCTCCCTGGGCAGAGGGCTTAAAGTCTCAGTGCTATCAAGCTATTGCCAGCCACTGAGGCCTGAGTTCAATCCCCAGCCAGGAAGGTGACCCACATGACATAGTAGACCTCTCCTGCTTCACCCGCTGCTCCCCTCAGCAGTGTATTTCAGTAGATCCACCTGTTCTGCTCCTCACTCTGTCTCTGGTGAATCCTCTCACCCCCCACACTTCTGGCCTACACCCCAGTTCTTATATGCATAAATAAATAAATCTTAAAAAAGAAAAGACTTTAGGGCCTCCCCGGTGGCGCAGCGGTTGGGCGCTGGGTTGCGAAGCTGCCTGCAGCCTCTGCAGCCGGTTCGATCCCCGGCTGCTCCCCGGCCACCAGAGGAGGGTCCCACATGGCGCGCAGACCTCTCCTGCCGCCCGCTGCTCCCCTCAGCAGTGTACTTCGGTCCTTCTGCCTGCTCTGCTCCCCGCTCTGGCTCTGGTGAATTCTCTCACCCTCCCACGCTTCTGACTGTACCCAGTGCATGTATCAAACAAAACAAACAATAAATAGATGGATAAATAAGACATGCCTCTAGAAAATTTAAAAAAAAAAAAAAAAAAAAAAAAAAAAAAAGAAAAGACTTTACAGATTAAGTTTTACTTACCTGATCTCTTAGCAAGATTTTTAGTCAGGTGTTTTGGATACAAACCACCTTATGTAAAAGACTAGGCTGCTTCTCTCTAGAACACAAATACATGGACACACGCGCTGCACCTTAGGCTGGCCAGTTGCAGGGGAAGGACTCCCAGCACAGGCAGATCTCTGGGCCCCCTGCACCTCCTGTGCCATCTACCAGTCACCTTGCAGCGCTGTGCTCATTCAGCCCTCTGAGCTCCCAGGCTTCAGGAGGAGGCAGAAGAGAAAGGGTCTGAAGGGCTGTGCTGGTGAGGACAACTACTCCTGAGTCATGAAGAAAGAGAGTGAGGCAGGTGAGGCTGGCAGAGCAAACAGAGGGCCCCCCTTTTCCCACCCTTGAGCTAAGCTCCCTCTGTGATGTTGCACCTGTGTCCTGCTCGCTAGCATCAGAGGTACCTGAGAGCAGCTCTTAACTGTTGTCCATCCCAAGCCACTATCCACATGCCCTCCACTCCTTGCATCTCTGCCCTGGCTTCTCTTCCCCCCGGTGACCGTGCCCTTGAGTCCCAGTCCAGCGCCTTCTCAAGTCCTTCCCCTGCAGCTACCTCTATCTTGTGCATTCTCCATCTCTCCCTCTCCACTGGCCAATTCCCGGCGCTATGAAAAGGAGCTTTACCCTCTGCCAGTGGAAACAGAACCAAAAGCAAAACCTCTCCCTGAATTCAGTTCTCTCCTAAGTCTGCCCATTCCTCTGCCCACCGCCCAGCCACACTCCTAGGAAGTGTTCTTTAGTCCTCTGCCCAGGCACATTCTCTGTCCTCCTGTTACCCAACCTCTCTGGACCCTTTGACAGGGCTGGCTCCTCCTCCATCTTGACATACCTTCTTCTCTGACATCCTTCTCCTTTCTTTCCTGCCTCATCCTCTTCCCATCCAGTAGCTGAAAAATTGCCCTACAGCTCTGTCCTCCACTCTCTTTTCTTGCTGCCCACTTTCCATTGGTGCTTTACCCAGTCCCATGACTTAAGTGATAGCAGTGTGTGTACATACATGTGCATACTCATCATGTGCTTACAGACTGTACGTGTATATACGCACAGAGTTCCAGATGTGTGCAGTACATTTACACACACCCACACACTTTGGTATATCCCGTAACTGATCTTATCTACAGCTGTGACCCCCTAAACTGAGCTCCAGATTACCTAACTTCAGCATCTCTACTTGGATAAAGAAGAGGTACTCAACTTTAACAGGTAAACAGAATTGTATGTTCTTTTGCCCCCCTGAGACTTTCCCTCTGCCAGGTTTTCCCCATCTCAGTAAATAGCACTATCATTTGTTCATTAGGAGAAATAGAGCAGTCATCCTTGATATCTGTTTCCTTCCACTTCTCTCTCTCTCTTCCACTCTTTCCTCCAAAATGTAACAGAATATGACCCTTTTCTCCATCCCTTCTCCTACATTAGTTCAACTACTCTGATTCCTGTCAGGACTACTACAATAGCCTTCTCATGGTCCACACCTCCATCCTGTTCTCCTGCAATCTATTCTCCACATACATTGCCCTACAGCTTTTAAAATCATGAATCAGGGCCTCCCTGGTGGCGCAAGGGGTTGAGACGCAAACTATGAAGCTGGTTGCAGCCATTGCGGCATGAGTTTTATCCCTGGCCAGGGAGCTACCCACATGGCACAGCAGACCTCTCCTGACTCTCTTGCTGCTCCCCTCAGCAGTGTGTTTCTGTCGATCTGTCTGTTCTGTTCTCTGCTCTGTCTCTGGTGAATCCTCACACCCCCAACCCCACCCACACACACACCTCTGGCCTGTATCCCAGTTCTTGCATGCATGAATAACTAAATCTTAAAAAAAATAGATAGTAAAATAAAATCATGAATCAAATTATTTCCCTTCCCTACCTGCAGCTCTCCAATGGCTTCCCACCGCAGCTAGGAGGAAATCCAAAGTCCTGAACACCATGTACAAAATCCTGCCTGCTTTAGCCTCTCTCTGCCTTTTGACTTCATCTCCCTCCCCCCATCCCTGGCATCTTGGGTGATGGAAGCATCCCTTGGACAAATGGAGCTGTTTCTGGCTTCAGGGCCCTTGTGTATGGTATTCTTACAGACTTTCCTAGAGCCAAATATGAGCTCAATGTTATTTTTCCTGCCTTAGGTCACCGAGACTCAAGTAGCCTCTTACCACCTCCCATTCCATCCTCTGTTACTCTACCGTGGTTTTTCTTAGCGTGTATTTGTTGCTTTTTCTCTCCCCTGAACTAGAATATAATCCCTTGAAGCGCAGCAACTGTATTTTATTCGATGTCTCATCTACAGAATTTTGCACAGTACCCTGAGCGGGCCTGATGATCCCCCTAGAAATGCGCCCAAGTGCTGGGGCTGCACACACTGGGGTGCTCTGGGGGACCGAGGTCCGGGAGGGGCGGAGGGTTGTCCTAGAGCAAGGGGGGGGGGTTCCCGGAGACGTGGCACTCCGAGCGGGGCTGGGTTCCGCTGCGGCCGCCGGGGTTCCAACTCCGCTCGCCTCCGGGAACCCGAACTTGACCCCGGCAGGGACGCGCCCCCAGACGCTTCGCTCCCAGGAGCCGCGGGACGTCCGGGCCCGGGTGGCCCCGGGCCGGCCTCTGGGGCGTCCGGCCGGCCCCGGACCAGACAATGCGGCGCGGCCCCGCCCCCGGAGGCTGACGCGCCCGCAGCGCGGCCAATCAGCGCGCGAGGCAAGGCTCTTTAAAAAAAGAAGAGCCGGCCGCGGTGTGGCTGTCAGCTGGCGAGGGATCCCTCCGCCCATGTAAACACACATCATAAAGGGCAGCAGGCGCGACTCCGCGGCCGGCCGCCGCCGCGGCCCCCGCGAGCCCTCCCGCTGCCCGGGCTGCCCTCGCTCCCCGGCGGCCGCCCGCCCGCGGCGTCGCTGGCCGCCGCGGGGAGCCAGACGGCGGCCGCCGGGTGTGGGGCGACGGCCCCTCGTCGCTTAGGGTCACTGCCGGAAATGGAGGACGCGGCGCCGGGAGGGCTTGGAGCTGGGGGCGGAGGGGTCCACGAGCGCCGGGCGCTGGCGGGGAGCCCCGTGGGCCGCTCTTCCCGTGCAGCGCGCTTAAGTAGCAGCCCCGAATCGTACCTGCGCAGACTCTTCCTCAAAGTTACCCCTCCCTGGTTTGAAGGGTGTCAGTGTTGGTGGGGGGGTGGGGTGTTGGGGGGCGGGCGGTAGAGGGAAGGGGAGATGGTGGGGGAGAGGGAGAAGCACAGGACAGGAAATCAACTCCAGCAGGCCCTCGAAAGAGCAGACCCCCACCCCACCCCCAGCGGAATTCTTTTTAAAGGTTGATTTATTTTATGCATACAAGCCCTGGGGTACAGGCCAGAGGTGCAAGGGGTGAGAGGATTCACCAGAGTCAGAGTGGGGAGCAGAGCAGGTGGATTGCTGGAAATACACTGCTGAGGGGAGCAGCGGGCAGGTCAGGAGGGGTCTGTTGTACCTGTGGGTCAGCGCCCTGGCCAGGGGTCAAACTCACGCTGCAGTGGCTGCTGATAGCTTCATAGTGCTGAGACTTAACCCCTTGCGCCACCAGGGAGGCCAGCAACAGCGGCTTGGCAGCAAGTTCCTCTCTACCCACTACCTAAATTCAGCTATGAAGGTTTTGTGATGACTTGCTGTATTTCCTATCTAGTTTTAAGTCAACATTGCAGAGGGCAGAAAGAAAAGGTTTAGCTGAAAAAAGAAAAATTAAAAACTACTTTCTCCAGAGATCTTTCTGATATGGGGGACGAAGGACTTTTGGATTTTATTGAATATGAGAATTTTCCCTTCCCACCTCTTTTAAAATGAAGAATTGAAGGCCTCCCTGGTGGCCTAGGAGTTAAACCTCAGTGCTATCAAGCTATTACCAGTTGGATCCCTGGCCTGGGAGCTGACCCACATGGCGCAGCAGACCTCTCCTGTCTTGCCTGGGGCTCCCCTCAGCAGTGTGTTCAGTCAATCGGCCTGTTCTGTTTCCCACTCTCTCTCTGGAGAATCCTCTCACTGCCCCCCTCCACCACCTCTGGCCTATACCTTAGTTCTTATATGCATAAATAAAGGAAATAAATCTTTTTTAAAAAAAAAATCCTTAAAAAGACTAAAAAATGTTCAAAAGTATTCAGATCTCCTTCATTTCCCATCTCTTTGCCTTCATCACATGTTCTTGGAATTGAGAATAGTGATCTCAAGAAAACTCAGCTATGTAAGCCAGTCACAGAGATAAGGTCTGGGGTTAGGAAAAGGAGGTTTAGTCAGAAAAGTGGTAAACTTAAGGCATGAATGGAGACTCATGTTGTTAGCAGGCAGAAGGAGGGCTACCCAGGACCCCCTAAGCCCTCTAATGGGTTCTGCCATCCACCATATCAAGACAAAACATGCTCTAGTGTGTAAGACCTTCAATGGAAAGGAATTTTAATACAATTAGTGTATTATAAAAAGAAGAAAAAGAATATAGTTAAAATAGTTCCTCCATGAAGCACCCAGTTACCCATCCCCTCATGGGTAAATTCCCAGCCAAACAGGGTTGAACCAAAGCAGGCCTTCTGAGCTTCAAAAGCTTGCCACAAGCTTAAGGTACTTTCTGGTACAGGCCCTTAGGAAGGGGCCAGAAGGCGCCAGACAGATGTGGAAGGAAAAAGTAAAATCAAAATACAAGTCAAGATAAAGGCTGCCCCGTCACTTTCCCCTCAGGTCTCTCACCCATGTCTGTTTCAAGAGTCTCCTTCCATGTGCCCCAAGACCCTAGTACAAGTCCAAGGCCTAGAAGCAAGCACAGCTTCACATGTGTCTGCCCTACGTGCCTCTTCCAGGTCCTCCTCCTCTTCTTTTTTTTTTTTTTTTAAGTTTTTTTTTTTTTTTTAAGATTTATTTATTTATAAAAGAGCTGGGGTAGGCCTCCCCGGTGTCACAGCGGTTGAGCGCTGGGTTGCGAGGCTGCGGGCAGCCTCTGCACAGCCTCTGCAGCGCCGATTCAATCCCCGGCTGCTCCCAGACCACCGTAGGAGGGTCCCGCATGGTGCGCAGACCTCACCTCTCCTGCCGCCCGCTGCTCCCCTCAGCAGTGTGCTTCGGTCCTTCTGCCTGCTCTGCTTCCTGTTCTGGCTCTGGTGAATTCTCTCACCCTCCCGCGCTTCTGACTATACCCAGTGCTTGTATAAATAAATAAATAAATCTTTTAAAAAAAAAAAAGAGCCAGGGTACAGGCCAGAGGCACGGGAGGGTGAGAGAATTCACCAGAGACAGAGCAGGAAGCAGAACAGGCAGATGGACTGAAGACACTGATGAGGGGAGCAGTGGGCAAGGCAGGAGAGGTCTGCCGCACCATGTGGGTTGCTCCCTGGTCGGCCGGGAATTGAACCTGCACTGCAGAGACTGCAAACAGCTTCACAGTGCGGTGCTCAACCCGCTGTGCCACCCGGGAGGCCCAGGTCCTTTTCTTGATCTTCCTTCTTCCAGTCCTCTCTGAGGTCAGGTACAGAGTGCAACACGTCTAGGCTGGGATTGGCATCTCAGCATCCAGGAATTGCTCTTGTGCTTCCTTATATCCTCTTCTATGGCCCTCCACCCTAGACACCTCCTGATTGGACAATTCAACCTGGCTCTCACAGGAGGGAGGGGTGTCCTCAGGCCACAGCTTTTGTCTTAGGGGTAAACCCACCATGTTTTTCTAACAGTCAGCTGCTGCGGAAGAGTCAGAAAAGTGCCCTGCAGGGCCCCAGCATCAGTGTTCTCAAAAAGCCATCTCAATTTTCTGGGCATAGCCAAGTGCAGTGTGGAGATGAGTTTTCTGTTGGGCAGAAAACTGGGGAAAGCCCCCACTGCTTGCTCCTGTCTTGGGGAAAGTCCCCACTCCCATGCAGCTGTGTCTGTGCTGTCCAGCAGAGTTATGGCTGGAGTCCTCATGGTTTCATTGTGTTTCATATGTTTTCAATTCATGTGTCAACAGAAACAGCTCACTAGGAGGGAAGTTAGTACTCAGAGCTGTGTTTGAGGCCATTTTAGGGAATTTCATGGGTTAGCAAGCAGGAAAATATAATTGTGTTCTGAAGGTTTCAATCACTAGCATCGTTTTGTACTTTCAAAATCAGTGTCTACCCGATAGGATGCTTGTGAAGATTCAGTGAACTAATATAAATTGAGAAAAATGACAGCACTGTGGCCATATTAAAATAGGGCTGGAAGATCCACCAAAGACAAGGCGAATTTCCTGCCCCCTTTAAAGTGGATCGACCCTGGGATGTTCCATGAAATGATCAGGAATGAGAATATTCTATTTGAAAGGTCTGATAAAATAACTTGCTCTGTGAACACTCCATCTACCACTTTCACCTTGTGATTCCTTCATCTGACAGCTACCTCATCCTCCTTGACTTCATCCTTCTTTTTTCCTTCTGTCAGAACACCCTTGACATTGGTCTTTCAGGGTACATTTTGGTTTCTAACTAGATCCCATGTGGCCAGAATCATAGTTCTATAATAAACACATTTTGGTTTATCTCTAACATGCTATTCCTCTTATTAAAGGTTAACATTTATGGCATAAGTTCTGTGAGAGTCAAAGAAAACCGACCCTGATGGCTGCTTGTCACTCCCTAGTTAGTTCAGATGTTAGGGTTCAGTGAGTGAGTGGGGTCCTCTGAGTAAGGTTTTGGTACAGTATCCCCATTCAGCAGCACATCACGAATTTACTAAGGAAAAAGATGTTTGCATAGACACTGCAGGCAAAACTGCATTTTTTAATAGAGATTTATTTATGCATACAAGAGCTGGGATGTAGGCCAGAGGTGTGGGGGGTGAGAGGATTCACCAGAGACAGAGTGGGGAGCAGAACAGGTGGATCTACTGAAATACACTGCTGAGGGGAGCAGCGGGCCAGACAGGAGAAGTTTGCTGCATCGTTTGGGTAGCTCCCTGGCCAACATCAAATTCGTGTTGCAGTGGCTGAGGACAGCTTCATAGGTTGCGTCTTAACGCCTTGCAAAACAGGGATAATACCCCATAATACCCCATCGAGTATTATGTTGGCTATAACTTTGTCACTGATGGCCATTATTCACTTTAGGTTTATTCCTTCTAAACCCGCTTTATTGAGATTTATTTTTTCATCACAAGTAGATGCTGAATTTAGTAAAATGCTTTTTCTCCATCTAGTCAGATGATCATATGATTGTTTAATTTTGACAAATCCCAATGATGGATTTATGTTGACCCATTCTTGAATTTATGGAATAAATCCTAGTTATTCATGTGTATAGTCCATTGTGGCAGTTTACTACCGTTTTGTTCCTGAGACACAGGGCAAGCTAGAAATTAGGCAGTTTTAGGGACAGTGCAGGAGGGGACCTCTGAAGAATTTAGGGAGGCTTCAGAGATAAGGACAACCAAGGGAAAGTAACCCATTCCACTAGGAAAAACAAACATCTCAGGACCAAGGACAACATTGTTAACGCTGGTCCTGGTTTCCTTCAGGTGGTAAAGGGAGGCGGAGATTGGAGAAATGGAGAGTGGTTTCATTTATGGACAACGTAGAAGGGCAGCTGTTTAACTTCAATGCAGGGATGCCCATCCAGAGGACCGGGCCATAAAGATAAAGATGCAACAAATGGGGAAAGAGAAAGCTGTTGGATAAGGAATGTGAAGATCCCCACTCAGTAGCAAATTAAGTGAGACAGCCGAGAACTAACCAATCACAGAGAGACTGGTGGAGCTTTAGAATAATGAGGGAAAGAAGGTATATAGTCCCTGAGACACAACTCCACTTTGGCTTCCTTGCCCCTCCCAGGCCTGGTTTCCTGGCCTGGGAGTCCCACTTTATTTCTGTTCTTTTTCTCCTCAATAAACTTTTTCTTTCTCTAAACAAACTGCCTCTTCTCGCTTGCTTGCCTGAGCGTCTGCGAAGTTCCTGCTGTGGCTTCGTGAGACACCAACCTGTGGGGGTCTAGTGGCTGGGGCTCAGCGCTGCCACTACAGCCTGGGATCTGTTCCTGGCTGAGAGACTAGGCCTGACAATTCCGGTATCATTCCTGATAGAAATTGGCCTATAATTTTCTTCCTTTATGCTGTCTTTGTATGTTTATTGCCCCAGCAATGTCAAAGGACCCCCATCTACTCTGGCAACAAGCTGGTCATCTGAGTCATTCCTGCTACTCTACTGTCCCTCCCCCATTTACCAACTCCTAATGGAGTCTCCTAATGGAGTCTCCTCCATTGGCACTCCTTCCTCCTAACCTGGGGCACAGCGCCTTCATCTAGGCCCCTCATTTTCTCATCCGGAACAGTCACAAGGCTTTTGCTGCTCTCACATACCGCCTCGCCTGCCTGCTGCTCTTGGACCACGCTTCTCTGCAACACCTTGGCCCTCCAGCCAACAGTCCCACGACACATTAGCTGTGGGCACTTGGGCAAACTGCTTCCTCAACCCGTGGTCCGGGCTGATGGCAAAGGGAAATCCAGGGACGTGCCTCCTGGTCCCACTGTTATAGGGCAGCACCGATATTGAACGGGTTGCCTGGCTGTGGGTCCTCACCCACGCGCTTACAAGGGACTTATGAATACTCCACTACGGGCACACACAAAAGGTTAATAAAAGGTTTATTTACAAGGGAAAAGGAAATAAGGAAAATGCACAACTCAGGGAGAAAATAGGGAAATAAAGTCTTTAATGCGTCCTACCCGATCCGCCGACCTGGAAACCCAAAAAGCACTCTCTGAGCTGGCGGAGAGCCAAAATGGGGATCCCCCAAAGCCCATGTGTCTGGCTTTATACCACACCTGGCTGCTTAACCCCACCCTCAGGTCCCAGCCACCTTCCTTTGGTGATGATGGGATTTGGAGTTCCCAGTGTCTTTGGCTTTGGCCTGGGGTGGGGGTGGAGTCCACAAAGCCTGTATGGACTTAGCTTTAGGACATCCTTTCCCCCTAACACCACGACCCATCACGCGAAGCATGATGGTCCTGCACAGGAGCGCCGAAAAGTGCTCTCGTGCGGCGGGTGCCTCCCGCCCTCGGAGCTGCGCGCCGCTGTCTCCTTCGGGCAGGGCCCGGGCCGGAAGACCCCGGCCCATCCCAGGGGCCGGCGCCGGCCCGGGCTCCCCCAGGGCGCCCTCGTCCCGGGCGCCCGCACGCCGCAGCCACGAGCGCGACGCGGCCGGCTGGGCGCCCGGGGGTGCCGGGGCCGCGGGCTCGCGGGGAGGGTCTGGCAGCAGGGGCGGGCGAGGCCGCCTCGGGGGCCCGCTCGGACCCCGGCGTCCGGGCGGCGGGCGCGGCCCCGCCCGGTTCGGGGGCGGAGCGGGGCGCCGGGTGGGGGCGGGGCGGGACTCTTTTTCCTCGCCGTGGCGGCGGAGGCGCACGGCGTGGGCCGCGGCGAGCGTCGTCGCAGGAGGCTGAGAAAGCCCGAGGTGCCGCCGTTGCTGCTCCCGCCCCGCCGCCGCCCGCCGCGTCCGCCCCGCTCCGGCCCCGGCCCCGGCCCCGGCCCCGGCCCCGGCGCCCCCCGTCGTCGCCCGCGCCGAGCCGCGGCGATGGAGCCGGCCACCGCGCCGCCCCCGGGCCCGCGCCCGGCGCTGCCCCTCGGGGGCCCGGGCCCGCTGGGCGAGTTCCTGCCGCCCCCCGAGTGTCCGGTGTTCGAGCCCAGCTGGGAGGAGTTCGCGGACCCCTTCGCCTTCATCCACAAGATCCGCCCGATCGCCGAGCAGACCGGGATCTGCAAGGTGCGGCCGCCGCCGGTGAGTCACGCCAGCCCGAGCCTGCTCGCGGCGGGGGAGGAGCGCGGACGCGCGGCGCCGGGGCCGGGGCGCGGGTGGCCCCGGCGGCCGCGTCAAGTTTGGGGCGGCCGGGGGGTCGGAGTGGGGCGGGGGCGGCGGAGGGGCCGCGGCGGGGCCGGGCGGGGGCGGCGGGGCCGGCGGGCGGGCGGCGAACGCGCGCGCGGGCGGGCGGGTGTGCGGGCCGGGCCGGGCCGGGCCGGGGTTCGGTTCCGGCTGGAGCGGTGGCAGCGGCGGGGGGTCGCGGGGTGCTGCCTCCCGGAGGCGGGCGGCGGCGCGGGCGTGCGGGGAGGCGCCGCTCGGGGCCGCGGCGGCCTGTGGGTCCTCGCCTGCGCCCCCGGGGTGCGGGGGTGTGTGATGGGGTGGGGGTGGGGGAGTTGCGAGTTGTCGTGCGAGGAGGAAAGTTTTCAATATGGCGGCGGGAGCCCCTGGTCCTTTGTGTGGTGGCGGCGTCGGCCCGGAGCGGCCCTCACCTGGGCGCCCCACCCTCCGACCCGGGCCCCCTCCCCGCCGCGGGGTCCCCGGGCGTCGGGCGTCCCCGGGCCGGGGTCGAGGAGGGGGCGTCCGGCGCGGCCGGGGGGCGGGGAGGAGCCGCGGTCGGCCCGGCGGAGGTGTTGTGGGGGCGTCGGCGTCTGGGGGCCCTCGTGGGCGGCGGGGTGCGGCGGGCGGGGCGCGCCCGATGCCCGCGGGCGCTCGGCCGGCTGGCACGGCCGCCTGGTGGCCCGGCCGCCGCTCCCCGCGGGAGGTGTGGGCTGTGCCGGCGGGGGCTGGGGCCCGAGAGTGGGGGACATGTCAGCGCAGAAGCGCTGCGCGGCCCTCACGCTCACTTCCCGGCCCCCCAAGTCCCGGGGCCGAAGCGCAGGGGCCGACCAGCCCTCCGGCCGAGTGCGGGGCGCCCGGGGCCGGGGCCGGTGTGAGGGTGGGGTGTGTCAGAGATCGACCCTAACGGCAATGACTTGAAAAAACTGTAATGTTCGGAGATGTGAAGCGTGAGGTTAGTGTGTTTTGAGCTCTTGGTTGGAGCTTTTATTAAACACGCATTCCTGAACTCCAGACAGCAGATCCTGAAAACATTACCATGTTACTCTAATCACCTAACTCCAGAAACAAAGCACAGATCCCTATCAAAACCACATAATTACACAGTCTTTAAAGCAAGATCCTTCCAATTTTCTGTGTGGTTGCTCCAGCTCATCATTTGGTGATATTTAAACCAGATGGTAGAGTCTCATCCTTGCCAGGCTTTAGGTTGGAGGAAGAGAGAGGACTGAGCAGGATCTCTCAGCATCTGTGTGCCAGTGTCTCTTCATTTATGGGATAGGGTTTGGGGAGGTGGAGATGTAAAGGTCCATAAGGAGACTTTTGGGGCTTATAATCTCCATTTTGTAAGTTTTCATCTATTCTGAGCTCTTCTCCTGGAGAGGTTCTTTTTTTTTTTTTTTTTACTTACGCACTCAAGAGCTGGGGTGTAAGCCAGAGGTGCAAGGGGTGAGAGGATTCACCAGAGACAGAATCCAGAATCGGGAGCAGAAAAAGGCAGATATACTTAAAATACGCTGCTGAGGCTAAAAGAGGTGGGTGGAGACAGGTGGGTTAGCTGAGCCTTGTGGGTTAGCTCCTTGGCTGGGGATGGAACTGGTGCTGCAGTGGCTGTTGATAACTTTTTAGTGCTGAGACTTAACCAGGAAGACCATGAGAGCATTTTTGTTACATGGCTTTTGCTGCCACGGTAGGATACTTTCATAGGTAAGGAAACCGCTCATGTTAAGTGACATGTTTAAGGTGACAGCTTTTAAAATATAAATTGGGGGTCCTCCCTGGTGGCCCAAGGGCTTAAGACACAACCTATGAAGCTGTCTGCAGCTTCTGCAACATGAGTTCCATCCCTGGACTAGCCAGGGAGCTACCCACATGGCGCAGCAGACCTCTCCTGTCTTGCCCGCTGCTCCCCTCAGCAGTGTACTTCGTTAGTCTGCCTTTTTTGTTTTCCACTCTGTCTCTGGTGAATCCTCTCACCCGCTACACCTCTGGCCTGTCCCCCAGCTCTTGTATGCATAAATAAATAAATCTTTTTAAAAAATAAAAATAAATGCAAGTTGGGGAATTCCCAGCCATGGCTTTTTTACTTCCAACTTCAGTGTTTTCCTTGTAATACACAGGGACTCTTTACTTTTAAAAAAAAATTTACCTTCATTTTAAAATTTATTCTCTCACTGGTCAATTTTATCAGTCATCTCTCAGTTAAATGTGTTACAAGTCATTGTTGCTAATTTAGTGCTGAAACTAAGAAAAGTACTTTCTTGGTGTTTCTCAAGCCTCTCTGAGGTGGAAGCTACAACTCCCTACACAACTGCCTTCCAAAAGAATGTGATTTTCAGGGCCTCTCTGGTGGCCCAGAGTTTAAAGTCTCACCTATGAAGCTATCAGCAGCCACTGCAGCCTAAGTTTAATCCCCACCCAGGGAGCTAACCCACATGGCACAGCATACCTCTCCTGTCTGGCCTGCTGCTCCCCTTAGCAGTGTATTTCTGTCTATCTGCCTGTTCTGCTCCCCACTCTGTCTCTGGTGAGTCCTCTCAGCCCTGCATCTCTGGCCTACATATCACTTCTATGCAAAAATAAATAAAATAAATCTTTTTAAAAAATAAGATTTTTACAGTCAGGAACATAATAGGGCTTTTGAATAATACAGTTTACTTTTATTTTGAAAGGCTTTAATAAAACCTTTTAAAAGTATTTAAAAGTAAATTTAAATTGAATTTCAAGGAATTTATATGGTACTGCTTGAAATTTGAACTCTGATAATACCCACTTGATACAGAAACACTGTTTTTATGTTAGGAAAATGACTTATGAGCCATTTTATTGGTAGAGGATAAAATTTTTGTTCTGATAATGTAATATCCCTTTCAGATACTTATCAAGCCAAAAATTACCACAGTGTTTCCAAGTGGAGAGTGGTCTTCTTTTTTAGTAGTTAATTTGAGGATCATTTTCCTCTTTCAAAATTTTCACCAGAGGCTTTATGGTTCTCTCAGACAGTTTTTTTAGCTTATGCATTTACCCACTGTGTGAACCTGCTTACTGATAGGTATGTACAGGGTTTTGTTTTTTGTTTGCACGTTTTTCCCCCCATGCTTCATTCATAGGTTCAATTCATTTGAGAAAGTTTCAGGTAATATATGCATACACAAACAATCTTAACTTTTTTTTTTAAAGATTTATTTATTTTATTTATACAAGCACTGGGTACAGTCAGAAGCACCGGAAGGTGAGAGAATTCACCAGAGCCAGTGTGGGGAACAGAACAGGCAGACTGACGCTATACACTGCTGAGGGGAGCAGCGGGCATGGCAGGAGAGGTCTGCGCGCCATGTGGGACCCTCACCCACGCCCAGGGATCGAGCCAGTGCGGCAGCCCAGCACTCAACCACTGCGCCACCAGTGGTTGGGAGGCCCCAATCTTAACTTCTAAAGTTTAGATATTTACTTGAGATGAAATTAATTTTTATATCGTGTTTTGGCATTAGAAGCCATATTTGATTATTCAGGGAATATTATGTAACACACAGTAGTTTAAATTTATCGAATTTCAAGCCATTTGGACAGTAATCATTTACTTGTATATTCTTTTTTTTTTTTTTTTAAAGATTTATTTATTGATTGATTGATTGTTACAAGCACTGGGTGTATAGTCAGAAGCGTGGGAGGACGAGAGAATTCACCAGAGCCAGAGCGGGGAGCAGAGCAGGCAGAAGGACCGAAGGACACTGCTGAGGGGAGCAGCGGGCGGCAGGAGAGGTCTGCGCGCCATGTGGGACCCTCCTCCGGTGGCTGGGGAGCAGCCGGGGATCGAACCAGCGCCGCAAAGGCTGCGGGCAGCTTCGCAACCCAGCGCTCAACCGCTGCGCCACCGGGGAGGCCCCATTTACTTGTATATTCTGACATATTTTCTTTGATAAGTTTTTGTCTAATCTTCCAGGTAAGTTCATTACAGTTCATAAAGTATTCTAGAGCTAAGCTCTCAGTTATTAGCCTGCCATAGAATTTTTAAGAATCAATGTTATTTGCATTCTGTATATCTGCTCTCTTTATCTTTTCTTGTCAAGTTAAACAAAACTAGATCACTTTCATTTATATTTTTAAGTTAATTCACAAAGATTGTACATCTTTCACTGACATTTTAAATATTAGAGTCTTTGCTGAAGAGGCAGTAAGACAACAATAATAAACACTTGGAGGCAGTAGGACAACAATAATAAGCACTTGAAGGCTTTATCTGTAATTGCCTTCAAATACAGTTTTTCTTTATTCCTTTCTTTCTTTTCCCTTTTTTGTTGTGGTAATAAATAGCTTTGTGTACCAATGTGTAATCTACTTTTATTTCCTTTTTTAAAAATTGTGGTAAAATGCATTCTGTTTTTAACGCAATATTTTATCAGCCATGGGCTTTTTTTTTTTTTTTTTTGGCCAGTGGGCATTTTTATGTCTCAATATTACAAAAAAAATTTACATTTTAAATTAAAAGTAGTAAATAGTGATAAATTCCAGTAATACAAATTTGAAATAAAAAAACTCTTCCCCTTTTAAATTGGGTACATAATGCTTGGGTATTGCTAACATAGAGGTATTTACATTAATATTTTGCTAAGCTGATTTTAGTATTGAACCTTGTTTTCCTGTTTTATACTGAACCAAACATCTTAACTTAACTCGAACATATGTCCTTTGAAATTCTGTGCACTTTGGTGTGGTAGCAACAGCTAGTATATGTATTTTCCTTTTTTTAAAAAAAAAAATTTATTTATTGGGCCTCCCTGGTGGCGCAGCGGTTGAGCGCTGGGTTGCGAAGCTGCCCACAGCCTCTGCAGCACCGTTTTGATCCCCCGCTGCTCCCCGGCCACTGGAGGAGGGTCCCACATGGCGCACAGACCTCTCCTGCCGCCTGCTGCTCCCCTCAGCATTGTACTTCGGTCCTTCTGCCTGCTCTGCTCCCTGCTCTAGCTCTGGTGAATTCTCTCACCCTCCTGCACTTCTGACTGTACCCAGTGCTTGTATGAATAAATAAATAAATAAATCTTTTTTTTTAAAAAAGATTTATTTATTTATGCATACACGAACTGGGTGTAAAGCCAGAGGTACGGACCTGGGGAGGATGAGAGGATTCACCAGAGACAGACAGAGTGGGGCGCAGAACAGGCATATGTACTGAAATACACTGCCGCGGGAGCAGCGAGCTAAACAGGAGAGGTCCGCTGCATCAAGTGGGTAGCTCCCTGGCCCGGTATGGAAATCCTTGTGCTGCAGATAGCTTCCTAGTGCTGAGACTTAACCCTTTGGGCCACCAGGGAGGCCCCAGTTTCCTGTTATCTTGAAGTTATTAGCACTTACTAATATTGGTATGAAATCACTGTTGTAAGTCTGTTTTCAGATTTGTGTTTGAAGAGAGCAGGCCTTAAGTACCCAAATTATGAGAAGACGAAGGGGGAGTGAAAATAAAGAAACTTGTTATGTAATTTTACCAATCACACAAAATTTAAGGTTTTTCTAGTCATCCTTAAATGAAGCACCTTTCAGAGTGTCTGCTCACATCATGGGTGGGATTATTGAGTGTGTCAGTCTTTGCCTGGCACATGGTAGAGGGTGAGTCAACCTTTTGTTGCCTGTTTTTAATTATGCAACCACTTGTATTTTGTATATATTTAGCAGCTTCCTCTATTGAATTCAGAAGTGGTATTGCACTTAAATATTCTAGGAGTGAATATCCCAAAGGTACAGTTTGAAAACAAGAGCTTTTAGATTAGCAACGTAAGGTTAAAACTCAGTTTTTCTCATTTAGGCTCAAACTCATGTAAAATTGAATTTCTTGGACCAGATTGTGAAATATTGGGAATTACAGGGAAGTACTCTGAAAATTCCACATGTGGAGAGGAAGATCTTGGACTTGCTTCAGCTTAATAAGGTAAATGATCCTCATGATTTTCTCTCTCATTTAATAATCTTTCTGGCAAGCATGAATTTGGTCTTCTTTTATTTTAAAACAGACTTACTATTTGAAATATGTAAAATGAGACTCTCAATTTAGTTGTGTGATCTACTTGTCAGGTCTGAAAACCTTGTCTTCAAACAATTTGCCACCACCTGTTTTTCAGCTTCACAATAGTTCCTTAAGTTAATCCTTTCTGTTTTATTGCAGACAAGAAAAGTTCTGGAAAGAGATAATTGACTCAGCAAAAAGATGAAGTGATAATTCAGTACTTTAACTTCAGTTTCACTTAACTGTAAAGCCTCCATTCTTTCCACCGACATGCTGCCATTCTGTCTACTCTCGAGATTTTCTGGAGATTTTTGAGATCACTGAGAAGGACCAGGTAGTTAAACCCTCTTCTTCATTAGAAATTTAAATTTTCAGTCTCGTTCTTCCTCCCAGAAAATCTTGATACCTTGGGGAACTGAGAAGTAGTTTCTGTGGGGCACATTTAAAAATGCTTGTGGACTGTTGTGAAAAGTGATTTAACTTTCTAGCTTAATAGTGCATATGCCTTTTCTTTTGACTTTGAAAGTGTATTTTGAAAAGATCGCCACAACCAAGAACATTTTGGTTTTGCAGCTATAGGCATGTGAGAATGAGAAATAATTTCCAAATAGATGTTTTCAAATTTTTTTGCTGTATTATTTGACAGTTGGTTGCAGAAGAAGGTGGCTTTGCAGTTGTTTGCAAGGATAGAAAATGGACAAAGATTGCCACCAAGATGGACTTTGCTCCTGGCAAAGCCCTTGGCTCACATATTAGAGGGCATTATAAGCGAATCCTCAATCCCTACAACTTATTCCTGCCTGGAAACAGTTTAAGGGTGAGTATTGGGATTAGCTTTGACCTGTTCTATTTCATTTTCTTGGGACGTTGTCTTTTAGAGGGAATGAAAAGGCCTTGATTATGTGTGGAAGGCATCGTGCAGAAGCATGTTCTGTGCATTTTCCTCCAATGTTTGTTCTGTTCTAACAGAAGGCATACCTAGAAGTTAGTTTTTGAGACAATTAAGATTGGGGAAATGTCCTCTTGCTGTCAAAACTGAAATCTGTGTTAACTTCACTGTAAATGTTTCTTCTTTATGACAAGGGTTTGATTATTGTCTGATTAGTGTGCTTATGCTTTTGCACTCAGTTGTCATGTTGAAGGTGCCATGTGGGAAGTAGCTGGCTTACGCATTTTTCTTTTTCAGTTGACATCTCCAAGTAGAGGTTTTTTTTTTTTAAAGATTTTTTTAAATTTATTTATACAAGCACTGGGTACAGTCAGAAGCGTGGGAGGGTGAGAGAATTCACCAGAGCCAGAGCGGGGAGCAGAGCAGGCAGAAGGACCGAAGTACACTGCTGAGGGGAGCAGCGGCAGCAGGAGAGGTCTGCGCGCCATGCGGGACCCTCCTCCGGTGGCCGGGGAGCAGCCCGGGATCGAACAGGCGCTGCAGAGGCTGCGGGCAGCTTCACAACCCAGTGCTCAACTGCTGAGCCACCAGGAGGCCCTGATTTATCTTTTTTGATCGCTGAGCAATATTCCATAGTATGTGTGGACCACATCATCTTGATCCTCTTCTCTGTTATTTTTCAGACTTTGGTTGTTTCTATAAGTTGGCTGTTGTAAAGCATTGTTCAGTGAACATGAGAGTGCAAGTTTCCTTTTTAAATCAGTGATATTGAATTTTTCAGGTAGATGTCTAGGAGTGAAATTACTAGGTCATATGGCAGATCCATTTTTAATGTTTTGAGATACGTCTGAGCTGCTTCCCATTAGGCCTGGACCAGTCTGCATTCCCACCAATGGTTTAAGAGGGTTCCTTTTCTGCATATCCTCGCAAGTACTTGTTTTTGTTGTTTTCCAACGGGCCGTCTTCACAGGTGTGAGAAGGTATCTCAATGTGGTCTTGCTGCTTATCCCTGACAGGTGATATTGAACATTTTTTCATGTGCCTGTTTGTAGTCTGTGTCTTCTTTGGAGAAGTGTCTGTTTAGTTCTTCTGCCCATTTTTTGATTATCTGTTGTATTTTCATTCAGTTGTATGATGTCTTTGATATCCATCCCTTGTCAGATGTGTGCTTCTCCATTCAGTAGGTTGTATTTTTGTTTTAGTTGTATTGTTGTATTTAGTTTTTGTTTTCTCTGTGCAGAAGCTTTTTAATTTTATATAGTCCCAGTTGTTTATGTTCTGTTTTGTTTTCCTTGCTGTGGGGATGAATCCCTAAAGACATTGCTAAAGGTTATGTTGTAAAATATTTTGCCTGTCTTTTCTCCTATGTATTTTATGGTTTCAGGTCTTCCCTCCAAGTCATTTATCGATTTTGAGTTGATTTTTATGTATAGTGTGAGATAATGGTCTAGTTTCATTTTTTTTTAAAAGATTTCTTTTATCTATACATACAAGAACTGGGGTGTAGGCCAGAGGTGTGGGGGTAAGAGGATTCACCCGAGACAGAATCAAGGCAGAATAGGTGGATTGACTGAAATGCACTGCTGAGGGGAGCAGCGAGTGAGACAGGAGAGGTCTGCAGCACCATATGGGTTAGCTCCCTGGCCGGGGATCATACTCAGGCCATAGAGGTGGTAGTGCTGAGACTTAACCCCTAGACCATCAAGGAGGACCCTCTATTGAGTCTTGAGGGTTCTTTATGTATATTTTCATGTCACCTACAAATAATGATTGTTTTACTTCTTTGCCAATTCAGATAGCTTTTATATCTTTCTTTGTCTAATTACTCTAGCTAGAACTTCCAGTATAGTGTTAAATTGTTGTGCTGTGAGTGGACATCCTTGTCTTGTACCATATTTTAGTGAAAAAAATTTTGTTTTTCACCATGAAGAATGAATAATTAGCTGTGGGTTTGTTGTGAATGGCTTTTATTATGTTAAGGTGTATTCTGTTTATCTCCAGTTTTTCAAAAGTTTTCATCATACTGGATGTTGGAGCTTACCAAATACTTTCTCAGCATCTGTTGATGTAGCATTTTAGTTGACGCAATGAATTGCATTGATTGATTTTCAGATGCTGAACCACCCTTCTGTTCTTGGTGTGGTCATGGTGTGTGCTCCCCTTAACACATTGTCAGAGTCAGTTTGCTATGATTTTTGTATCTGTGTTCATTAGGGCAACTGCTGTGTAATTTGCTTTTCTTGTTTGGTTTGTGTATTAGAGTAATGTTGGCATCATGAAATATATTTGGAAGTGTTCCGAAGAAGGTGTTTGGAAATTATTTATTTTTTAAAGATTTATTTATTTATGCACACAAGAGCTGGGACCAGAGATAGAGCGGGGAGCAAAACAGGCAGATTAAAATACACTGCTGAGGGGAGCAGCGGGCGAGACAAGAGAGGTCTGCTGCGCCATGTGTGTCAGCTCCCTGGATGGGGATCGAACTCACGCTGCAGTGGCTGTTGATAGCTTCATAGTGCTGAAACTTAACCCTTTTGCACCACCAGTGAGGCCTCGGTATTTGGAAATTACTTAGATAAGAAACTTGTGTTCTAATTTAAGTAAAACATTGTTACAAAAACATTTCACTTGTCAAGGTCCCCATAGAAAAAAGTATTTTATAAATGGTTTACATCTTTCTCTGGGGGTGGGGGGGTTGTGGAAACCTATAATTTAAGAATTGTGACAGTGCTATGGAGAGGTAGCAAGATAATAACAGTTTCAGAGGGGAAAATGCTAATCAAAACTCCATCTTGGTGTTTACAGGCATACCAGCTGTAGTGTTTACTACATCTATAGATCTTTACTGCTTTGTTTCTTACCCTTTCTTTTTTTTTAAATATTTATTTGTTTATACAAGAACCGGGGTACAGGACAGTTGCGCGGGAGGGTGAGAGGATTCACCAGAGACAGAGCGGGGAACAGAACAGGCAGAATGACGAAATACACTGCTGAGGGGAGCAGTGGTTAAGTCAGGAGAGATCTGCTGTGCCGTGTGGGTAGCTCCCTGGTCGGGGATTGAACTCGTGCTGCAGCTGCTGCAGACAGCTTCTAGGTTGAGTCTTAACCCCTTGCACCACCAGGGAGACTCCTGGATGAAATTATTTAGAATATTGTATGTGGAAGGGCCTCCCTGGGGGCGACGCGGGTTGAGAATATTGTATGTGGATCTGAATACAGTTGCCCAGGATATTTTTTTCCTTATTAACTTTTTTGTTAATAAAGAACTTCCATATGGAAGTTATAGTAAGAGAAAAGAATCTAAGGGCTTATGGGTTATAACATTTTAGAAAAGTATCACCTATATATTCAGTTCAATGTAGTTTCACAGTTGAAAGGCACCTGAAAATGTATACAATGTATCTATAGGGATAGATATTTAAAGATACTTTTACAAACATTACATCTACAACACACATAAATATTTGTGAGTGGCTACTATGTGTCAAGTATGTTCCAGACACTTATATACATTCATTGTGGAAAGCTAAAAAAACAAAGTTTCCTAATCTTCTCATCTGTTATTTCTTTCAAGTCTATGTTTGTGCATATGTATACATGTTGCAAGTGTATTCTTCCTATGCAATGTTGTATTGTGCCTTTTTTCTACTCAACATTTCATAAACACTTGCCATGTCATAAATATTTTGAGGACACAGCTTTTAATCATTCTTCCAATTCCATTTTCATAGCTAGACCTTAACAGAATTTTCCCTATTGTTGAATGTTTGGGTGGCTCTAATATTTTTTTTTTAAGATTTATTTATATATGCACATAAGAACTGGCGTACAGGCCAGAGATGCAGGGGGTGAGAGGATTCACCAGAGACAGAGTGGGGAACAGAACAGGCAGACTGACAGTAAACTCTGCTGAGGGGAGCAGCGGGCAAGACAGGAGAGGTCTGCTGCGCCATATGGGTATGTCCCTAGCTGGCCGGGAATGGAACTTGGCCGGAGATTGAACTCATGCTGCAGAGACTGCGGATAGCTTCACACTGCTGTGCTTAACCCCTTGTGCCAGCTGGGAGGCCCCATTTTGTCACTTTAGGTGCTGTCTTTTGATCACAGAACATTGCTAGTTATGTTGACAACTACAGGGTTATAAAATATAGATGCCCTATTCTATTCTTATTCAACACATTTTAAAAAATGAGAAAATTTTCAGTGTGGAAAAGTTACTTTGGAAATTTGTAAGGTGTGTTTTAACAGTTTGAACCTTCAGTTAATTGATTTCAAACAGGGATAATTGCAGCTGGCTCATTGGTAGTGCCTTGAGCTGCTGTGCACTGCTGTGCCCTACTGAGAGCAACAATGAAATGAATCCAGCAACACCACTCACCTGTTTTTATATGGTGTTATACTCTATATGTGTGGGGTACATGACCGGTACCTGTAGACATGTCTTTGTGTTGCTATACATTTAAAATCTACGGACCTGCATATACTTAAGTAACTGTTAATACCTGGCAAAAATGCAACAAAATTCTCTTACATTAAAAAAGGTGGTAGAGGGCCTCCCGGTGGCGCAGCGGTTCAGCGCTGGGTTGCGAAGCTACCCGCAGCCTCTGCAGCGCTGGTTTGATCCCAGCCACTGGGCGAGGGTCCCACATGGTGCGCAGACCTCTCCTCCCGTCTGCTGCTCCCCTCAGCAGTGTACTTAGTCACTCTACCTGTTCTGCTCTCCGCTCTGGCTCTGGTGAATTCTCTCAACCTCCCACGCCTCTGACTGTACCTAGTGCTTGTAAAAATAAATCTTTTTAAAAAATAAAAAAAATTTAAAAAGGTGGTAGATTCATCAATAAAATTGTGTTTTATTTCTAATATATGCAGAAAACAAACCTGGCCATAGACACAATGCACAAAACATACAAGCTCCATAATTCCCCAGAAGCAATCTGCGCCGTCCTCTCACAGAGCCCATCCAAGCCTGGAGGGCAAAGCTCATGAGAACATTTTCATATGTTGAACACATTCAGAGTTTGAAGTTAACCTCTGCACCCTGGATTTAAATCACCTCAGCCACCTGCACAGGGTTTAGTTTCAAAATCCTCCAAGACACTTTGAATGACAGGGCTAGAGTCTGGTGGCAAACCAGGTGCAGGAATCCAGGGGGCAGCTTTGGCACCTGGCCAGGACAGTCCTCTGACTTCCCGGGCAGTAGCAGCAGCACGTCCTGGCAGTGCAGGCTGTTCCAAGGCAGGGCACAGACTCCAGGCCCCACTGGGCACAGTTATCTTCCCCTGGGAAATGCAGGGATCGAGACGGTGCTGTGGCTTCCTCTGGAACATGCTGCTCTGGGCTTTGGGGTAATCACTGCCTGAACCTGGTAAAGCCACATGAATGATGGACACCCCACGGCGCTGAATCCAGTTCACCCTCCCACTCTAGCCGTGGGGCTAACTTGTTCTGCTCAGGAATCCACCTCAGACCGTGAACACACAGCTTGGGGAGAGGGACAACGTGTGTCTGCTCTTTTCCCCCAGAGCCCACCAGGAGAAAAAACTACTCCCGTAACGCTTGCGTCTGCCTCAAAGCTGCTCCGTCACATCACTCTGAAAGCCTTTGTTTTCAAACTGAGTAGATAGGAAAGAAGACCGGGAGGGACAAAGGCTGAAAGTGTGGAAGGGCCCAGAAAGGGAACCCAGTCTTTTGGGCTCCAGACCGCATAGGCACTGCTAGTCCTCAGCCTGCAGGGAGGAAAGCAAAGCCGTCTCCTGGGGAAGGCTCCTCAAGCCGCACCCCCTCATGTCACCCACACCACATCCTGCTCTGCTTGTCCCAACAGTGGCCGGAACCTCTCTGTCCGGGAGGGCCAGGCAGGGTGCAGACAGACAGAGCCTGCTGGGAGCGCCACTGCCTGGAGCACAACGTCCAGCCCGGTGGGCCTGCTCAGCAACGGAGGCAGAGAGCAGCAGTGCCTGCATCAGCATCTTCACCATGAGACCAGGGCTGTCAGGCTCGGGCCTTGCATGGTGGCCTGGACAGTGTCACAGGTGAGCGAGTTTGGGCAGGTTCCCCTGCCCCAGCCCATCCATTTTCCTAGTGCCATGTCAGGGGAGCTGTACTTGGAAAAGAGTGGATTTAGGGTCTGGTCTAGACGGTCCTCAGGAGGGCTCCTCAGGGCTTCCTGTGCTGAGAGAGCCTAGAAACTGTCAGGTGTTCCATGGGGTCAGACCTGGCAGGAAGACTGCAGAGGACAGTGGTTTACAAGCAGGAACTTTTCTATACCCTGAGACTTTGGAAGTTCCCGTTGCCTGAGGGACTCCAGAACATTCACAGTGGGCCCTGTTCACCCGCAGGCATAACAGGCCCCGTAATAGGATGTGGGCCTGTGTGAACTAGGCTGGTGCTGGCTCCCAGCATGCTCCTTCCTCCTTTCTGCATGTGAACCCCTCAGTTTCCTCTTCCTGAAAATCCTGCGGTCCCCTCCACCTTAATGACGTTGTAGATGTTAATCTTTCTCTACATTACTGTGTATTCTTCTCCCTATCCAGAGTCCAGTGAGACTCCCCTGGCGCCCCTCCAGTTCCTCACCAAGCAGAATGAAGTGGCTGTGGACCTTTATTTTTTTAAGACTGATTGATTTATGCATACAAGAGCTGGGTACAGCCAGAGGTGGGGGGCGGGGGGGGAAGGGTAGTGAGAGGATTCACCAGAGCCAGAGCGGGGAGCAGAACAGGCAGACTGACTGAAATACACTGCTGAGGGGAGCAGCGGGCGAGACAGGAGAGGTCTGGTACGCCATGTGGGTCACATTCCTGGCCGGGGATCGAACTCGTACTGCAGTAGCTGCAGATAGCTTCATAGTGCTAACGCTTAACCCCAGCTGTGGACCTTGAAATAGGGCTTCAAATCCCCCCAGACGGGCCCAGATGGGACTGGCCTAAAAGTGACCCTGGAGTGTCCTGTGCTCCTCTCGGCCAGTTGTGCGGTTATGCACCCAGAGTTGGGGAGGCTCAGCATGTAGGTCCCTGTGGGGCTAAGACCAGTTTTTCATCTTTGCATGCTTTCTTTCTCCTGAAGATGAGGCAAGAACTGGTGCTTCAACAGCTCCCACCCTGGGCAGCTGACACCTGGCACCAGAGATGCAGCCAACCGCTGTGCCCCAGACACCACTCTGTGGGTAGGGAGGGCAACCCCTGATGCGGGAGCCATCGATCACAGGGGAGAGGGCCACGTGCCCTGGGACCTCCTGAGGTCAGCGCATCCTTAGCCACCCCCCACCCCTTGGGAGACTGAATCTGGCTGGAGGAAAGAGGACCCCGGGCCCATGGCAGTGACTGGGGCTCTCTGGCCCGCAGTTCCTGGGCTTCTCTGGGCGCTCCACTTCCCTGGGCAGTGGGGTATTGAGCGTTGATCTCGCTGAACAGCCGGAATCTGCCCTGCTGTGCCCTGAGTTTTGGACTCAGGTTCCTGCCCCCTTGTTCTGATGCAAGTTGCCTTTGAACTTGCTCCAGCTCTGGCCCAGCAGGTAGGAGGAAGCTGCCTCAGCAGCTCAGCCTCTTCTAGACGCCAAGGAGAACCCCCAGCTGGGAGAGGCTTCTGCTTAGCTCGTATCCACTTCCCAGGTGACCCCTTCCTTGCCTGAGGCCTGGGAACAGGGGATGGTGGGGTTTGGGGGGGGAGTGGGAGGAGGCCCTCTGGGAGCCAGGGCTTTGGTACTGGTCCATCGGAGGCATGGTCCCAACCTCCTCCCTGCTGTCTGTAGAGACTGAGGATTGCAAGTGACCTGAGAGTGCATTCTGTGCCAGAATGAAGCGAAGCTCTTGGGCTTAGGCCTTTTTTAAAAGGAGGGTATTTGCACACCCATGTGTCTGGTGTAGATGGACACTTTATGGTCCAAGGAGCAGTAGTGGCCACGGGTACATGTTAAACCTACAGAACCCTGGGTTCCATGCTCAGGTGGCCTGGAAACCCGTATATTCAGGAAGACGGTGTTACCTCACTCTCCTACAACTAGGTGGCAAAGCACAAAGCAAGAGGGCCCAGCTTTTTGTGACCTTGATTATGTCTCCACTGTGCCTCACCCTGGGTACACCCCTCGGCACATGTAGCGCGGCCTCTCTGGGTCATCACGGACACTTGTCGGGCTTTCTTTCTCACCTGTATGCCGCTGAAGCGAAAGGACATGGGGGAAATGTCCCAGGCGATGGAACTTGCCTGATTGGTGTGACGACTAAATAAATATGTACACTTGTGATGTCAAGTCATTGGCTATTGAGTAAAATGTGTACAGTTAAGTATAAACTATGCCTCAATGTTTTTTGAAACACTGATGTGAAGATGGTTGTGGTTATACAAAACATAAAACAAAGACAGAGGCAATTATAAATCAGAGACATCTGCAGGGGAGGAGGAGGGAGAGGGATCAGAGGGATGGAGAGAGGAGCACAGGGGACTGAGGTGATGGTGCACAGGTGCCTTGGGGAAGGAAACTCTATGGGGACCACACCTGGGTAGTGGGGGGGGGGAAGCAAACATTGTTTAAAAATGAAGAATGATGTAAAAAATACATAAATAAAAAGAAAATTTTAAAAAATTATATTACCCCCCAAAAAAATACGGTTGTGGTTAAGTCGCAAGAGCACTCCATGGAAAAAGGGTCTTTCAGGATAAGAGGACAATGGGGGCAGGGGAAGGCCACCTGTGACCTTAACACAGTTACCTGGTCCTGTAGACAAAGCAGAGCGAGTGTCTTCAGGCCTTCCTGAGCTTCAACAGCTGTGGGGTGGATCTGACCAGGCTTCACCTCCAGCTTCATGGAGTGGCTTTCTGTGCACTATAACAAGAAGCTCAAGTTGCAGTTTGTTCTCGCCCCAGGCCCCTGAGCGTACACATCAATTGTAGAGCCAACAACTCGACTAACCTGCCACCCTAGAGCATGAGAGTTGCAAACTGACTTGGGCATTGAAGACTTCTTTGATCTGTGTTACTGCACCTGGTCATGAGCAGCCTCAGTCCACCAGCCTCGGCAGAGCCTCAGCCAGATGGTTTTCTACCACTGCCCACCTGTATTTCCATGGCGTGCTCAACGTGGACACTTGGAGTCTAGGCCAAGCCGATTCCCTGTGGACAAGTCTACTTCTCCCTGGTGAGCTGTTCACCTACCACCAGCATGCTGTAGCCACTCAGTCTGCCCCCCCACCCTGGGGAAGGGAGTGTTTTGGAAGCCAGAAGGGCCCACCATCCAGATAGGGGCAAGGCGTGGGTCAGAAGGTCTGTGATTACAGCCTCTTCCTTTTGAAGTGATGAGGCGGCCTCACTTTCTGCCCCAACCTGTTATCAGTTCATATTCCCACAGGGCACTGGGCATACGACCTGGTTGATGTTTTATGGGTTTTGTTCCAGGCAGAGTCTTGGAAGATGAAAGGTGGCAGGTCGGCATATAGGAATCCCATACAGGTTCCCCGCCCTGTTACAAGGCGGCGGACGAGCCCACAGAGGGAAGGAGGCGGGTTCTCCGGGTCATAAAGATAATAATAACTGCTTGCTGGGATTAAAGACTCGTCCTGTGGCTGAGACCTAGACTCAAAGGTAGGATGTCGGGAGGCTGACTCTCTTTTCAGCTCCATGTGAAGAAACACGCATGCATGGAGCAGGCTGCCTGTCAAGCAGCTGCCTCAAGAGCTTAAGGGGAAGTGGAGCCTTCATGTATCTGGAATGCTGACTGTGAAATGTGTTCACACATGCTAACTAGACCTGTGTCTCAAGCAGGTCAGGTTATATCCAGTCGGAGATCCCCACAGTGTTTGAAACTTTTTTAAACTATTCATTTCCTAATCTAGAAAAAACTGGGAGGCTGCAGAACCAGACTGTAGTTCAACATCTGCTTCTTCTGTTTTTCCTTTGATGATCCATTTAAAACCTCCAGTCCAGTGTGCTAGCAAAATGAGTAGTCTCCAAGTAACAATACTCAGTAGTTTTCCATGGTCTGTTATGAACATCAAGGTGGAATCAAAGGCAAGAGATTGGTTTTTTTGTCTCTTAATGAAAACTGTCCATACTTTTTCTTGATTGTGACTTCGAAGGGACCAGTCTCAGTGTCCCACGTGCATGATTTTTATGTGCCTTGTGGTATTGAACTTGCTCCTCTATCCCCTTGTTTCTTAGCAGTTGGCAAATGCCAACCACCAGGAACTGTCCTTCCCCACAGGGCAGTCCTTGTGCAAACTCTTCTGGGGGCCCAGAACTAGGCATTTACCCTGTGACTCTGCTTTTTAGGTTCTCATCAACTGCCAGCACCCACAGTGGGGCCTGGGGGAGACCTGGCCAAGGTGCAGCATGCTGTCTACATGCTCAGAACCTCCAGAGCCAGGGCTACTGAGGCCTGGGACCGCCTCAGCCACAGTGTGACCTGTTTGCCAAGTGGCATTTGTGTGCTGGCATCTGAGCGAAGACATGGAGCCATGGGGTTTCTCTGAGCCCTAGAAGACCTGGTTGCCATGGAGAGGGAGTATGAAGAAGTAGCAAAGACTGACAGTGGCGTGGATGGATGTGAGGGGTTCTGGGGTCCTAGCATGTACAATGTCCCGTCTCCCCAGTTTTGTGTGTCTCATTTCTCTGTATCCCTTTAACAAATACAATTGGTGTTGCACGTGGTACGGAACTGTGTGATGTGAATCCTGCCCAGGCAGTGGCCTTGTCTTCCCTCCTAAGCCCTGACCCTCCTTGTAAGTGCAGGGGCAGGCTGGGCTTGCCTGTCTCAGCTGCAGACCGCCCTGACCAGTGTGCACGGTCTGTGGCCTTGGCCGTGGTGCTTTGACTTCACGGTGCTGCCTTTGCCTGCCTTCACCCAGCCCAGCTCAGGAAGGATAAACCTTGAGCTTCTGGTGAGATGTGTCCCCTCATTCTGGGACACAAAGCCCATCTCAATTTCAGTGCCAAGAGGGAATCCAGCCTTTTTCCCTTCCTCCCTCCTCATGGCCAGTAGAGGGCGGTGGGGGTTGAATTCCCAGGCCTCCCTGCAGCCTCCATCTTATTTAGGGCTGCAGCTGATACCTCACACAGAAGGAACAGAAAGGGTCAAGAACAGGGACTCCGCTGGACAGGAGTCTAGTCTGGGGCCGTGTAGTTCTGAAAGAACTTTCAAAGGTGCCTGTGACCTTCAAGGCAAGATCCTCAAGTTGGTCTTTCTTTCCTCAAATTGGGTTGGGTAAAGGGATAAAAAAGTGATGAGGAAAAGAACTTCAAGGTTCCAACCATTTGTGGTCAATGTGTAATCTTAGAGATCAGTCAGTAAAAGTAGCTCAGGTTAAACTGAAGGGTGTCCTTTAGCACAAACCAAGTTAAAAGAAGCTTCTCTTGGACCAGACTTTGCCTATGGACTGGCCGTACCTGCTTTGACATTCAGTTCTAGCCTATGACTCAGGATGCCTCTGGTTTATTCAAGCACCAAGGAGCCTTGTACTGATGGAAATGTCACCAGTGGCCTTGTTTTCAGTTCTGATGCTAGATGCTAAACAGCTCATCCCCACCTTCTGAGGATGGAGTGAAAGAAGGCCAGGGCATGTGATATGGTTTTGGTCCTGAATTCTGCCATCAGGTACTAGCATCATGGCAGAGGCAGTGGGCATTGGTCCAGATACACTTGTAAGTGGGCAGTTGGAATTTCTGGCTTCTTGTTTTTACTTAGATAGAAAGTTCATCTTTTATCCACTTAGGTGACTGACAAGAAAGGAGTAAGAATCTGCAAGACCTTGGCTCTCCTGGAGAATGAAAAGAAGCATCTAATGAGTCCGAGCCCAGCCAGCATCCTGGAGGGCCCACTGAGGCTGCTGTAGTCAGTTCTCTGAGTCAGCACCTATTGCCCCTGCTCTGAGCAGCAGGAGCCCTAGGATCCTCCAGGTGCCACCACCCAGGGGTCCCCCACCCACATATGGGACTTGAAACCCACTTGCCACCTGAGTCCCACCCTAGGGCAGAACAGAGGAAGAGGAAGCTGTGAAGGGGTCGTGGCACATGGTGACGTAGATGCGGAGACACAAACGAACCATGACCCGGGCAGGCAGTGTCCAAGGGGCTGATGGCTGAATGGATTTTTGTGGGCTGGCCAGGAGTGGACCGGGCAGAAATAAGGGGGCAGTGGATGCTTTCCAGCGCCGGGGTGAAGGTGCAGCAGGGTGGCCAGAACCAGGTGAAAGCTCCCCAGAAGGGGGCCATGTGCTCATGGCCTAGGGTCTCCTGGCCCAAGGACAGGTTCCCTGCAGAGGGAAAGGACTGGTCTCTCTAGCACATGAGCCTTTGCGGGCAGAGCCTATGTTTAGATGACCTCCACATTGCGCCGCCCCCAGTCACACTCAGAATCCCAGTAAGCTTGAGGGCCCGGGGTTTGAGGTCTTGAACTGCTGAATGCGGAGTTAAGGGCAGAGAGAGACAGTGACCCCCTAAGACCTTTGGAAGCCAGTAGTTACGGTTCAGGTTCGAGTGATAGCTACAAATGCCAGTGGTCACCCATGTCCCCTGCGCCTCCCTCCCCACATCTCAGTGAGGCTGGCTGGCTCCGTCTTACTGCACAGGGAGAAGAGAAAGTTGAAAACAAATTGGTGACCGACGCTGAACCAGTCCTTACCCTTTCTGGGACATGCTGACCACCCCGAGGAGCAGGTGGGAGGCTGTTGATTCGGACTCAAGCCTGGACGTGAGCACCTTCCCAGAACAACCTAACCAGATTCAGCTGAGGTCCAGAAGGAATAGGTCTGGCCAGGAGTGGACCGGGCAGAAATAAGGGGGCAATGGATGCTTTCCAGTGCCGGGGTGAAGGTGCAGCAGGGTGGCCAGAACCAGGGGAAGGAAGGTCCTCAGCCACAGGGGCGGGGAGAGGCCTGCAGGGAGCACATGCTTCCTGTCTCGTCTCACCCCAGTCTGCAGCCTTAGGGGAAGGAAACAAGACAGTGGAGAAGCCTGGGAAGATAATGAACCCTTTCTCATATTGAGAGTCAAGTAATCTCTCCTCTGGACACTCCTCTGTAACCTGGGAAACATCTAGATCTCCAGTCAAGGACCTGCCCTGTGTCTCTGGGTCAGGCAGTGAACCCAAGGAACTCAAGATACATGAAGGGTTGTGGATGTCTCCCCCAGTCCATCTTGTTACATCTGTTTCTTTCCATAAAGCTCATCAGGCTGTCCTGTTGGGATTCTTGGTGGTGAGGCTTACCTCTTGTAGTATGGCCTTTCAGGCTATCAGAAATGGAGCAGGCAAGTTCCATGTAGGTTGCATGTAGCAGCAATTTAAAAAAGAAGGTGCAGGGCCTCCCTGGTGGCACAAGCTGTTGAGCGCAGCGCTGTGAAGCTGTCTGCAGCCTCTGCAGCGCGAGTTCAATCCCAGCAGGCCAGGCACATGGTGCAGCAGACCTCTCCTTTCTCACCCGCTGCTCCCCTCAGCAGTGTATTTCGGTAGATCTGCCTGTTCTGCTCCCCACTCTGTCTCTGGTGAGGCCTCTCACCGCCCCCACACCACCCGCACACCTCTGGCCTGTCCTCCAGTTCTTGTATGCATAAATAAATAAATCTTTTTTTTTTTTTTTAAAGATTTATTTATTTATTTATTTATACAAGCACTGGGTACAGTCAGAAGCGCGGGAGGGTGAGAGAATTCACCAGAGCCAGAGCGGAGAGCAGAACAGGCAGAGTGACTAAGTACACTGCTGAGGGGAGCAGCGGGCGGCAGAGAGGTCTGCGCGCCATGTGGGACCCTCGCCCAGTGGCCGGGGATAGAACTGGCGCTGCAGAGGCTGCGGGCAGCCTCGCAACCCAGTGCTCAACCACTGTGCCAGTGGGGAGGCCCAATAAATAAATCTTTTAAAAAATAAATAAGAAAGAAGGAGTAGGGCCTCCCTGGTGGCGCAGCGTGTTGAGCGCCACACTGTGAAGCTCTCAGCAGCCTCTGCAGCGCGGGTTCAATCCCAGCTAGCCTGTGAGAATCCCACATGGTGTGGCAGCCTCTCCTGTTGCACCCGCTGCTCCCCTCAGCAGTGTATTTCTGTTGTCTGCCTGTTCAGCTCCCCGTTCTGTCTCTGGTGAATCCTCTCACCCGCCCGCACCTCTGGCCTGTACCCCAGCTCTTGTATAAAAATAAATAAATAAATCTTTTTAAAAAAAAAAGAAAGGAGTAGTTCTTGGCCCATTTTGTTACCATATTCTAGAGAGCAGCTCACCCAGCAATAGTCCCTTTCCTTGAGCTGGGCCCCTTAAGCACAAATCAAGTCTGTTAAAAAGTTAATGGGTGCTGAGGTGTGGGGGACAGCGTGAAAATCCATTTGACTGATTTTAGAAAGACAGTGTGCCCTAGCTCGTTATTCAGAGCAAAAAAAAAAAACAAAAACAAAAACAAAAAAAACAGAATCTGGATTTGAATCCCAGCTTTGCTACTTAACAATTGTGTGGTCTAGTTGTATTACTGCATCTCAGTTTCCTGATCTATAAAATGATAGTAAACAAACAAACAAACAAAAAAAACCCTACCTCCATATGTTGTTAGGATTATCTAGCACTTAGGCCTTTGAGACACAGTTGTGTTGCTATTCGACACAGCTCTGTGTGTAACATAGTAAAAACCCAAAGTGCTCATTGGTGTCAGCGTTGTGAGGATGGTTCTTAGAAGCCACCCTCGGGAGGAGAGGGGGCTTTCCATGTTGCTCTAACACTTTCTCTTACAAGGCTGTTCTCTTTGTAATCTCTGTCCTGTGCTAGGTAATCGCTTCTTTGTGCTCCATTGTAGCTCTCACTTTCCTCCAAATTAGGCTCTTTTGAAGGCACCATTCCCAGTGGTTAACTATTCCAGCTTTCTCTTCAGTTAAGGCTTCTCATGACTTGTATTCGTCCTCTCCCCAACTTGCAGCGTTCCGGAGCTTACAAACTGGCTGCATGCCTCCCAGCCCTGGCTGTAGGCCCACCCACACAAAGGACCCCTCAGTACCTCTCTGCCCCCTCCCCACCTCATCCTGCTCACAGCCAGAGCCTTCAAGTCTCACCCGTGCTCGCAAAAGCTTTTCGGTAGGTCAGAGGGTGCATTCATAATAGACAAGCAGAACTTTGTCTTCATTCCCAGCCACTCAGCCAGCAGTGAGACCCAAATATTTCATCACCGTGATAGGCAAGCACTAGGCTCTGGCAGAAGGGCTTCCAGCAGACCGGCGCATTCAGGAGGCCGGCCCTGTGCTGTGTGAGGCTCATGCCGTTACCTCTTGCCAATATCAAACTGCCCCAAAAGTAGTGGCTTAAAACAACTGCAGTTGATTCACTCATGGTTCTATCATTCAGGAAGAGCCTAGTGGGAGCGGCTCGCCCTTGGTCTGTGCAATGGTGAGGGCAATTCCAGAACCCAAGGTGTCCTCATTCACTGATCGCGTGTCACTGATCGCGTGCCGGAACTAAGCCGACGGGACTGTCTGGGAGTGGGCCAGGCCTCCCAAGTCCCTCATCCTCCTGTACCTTTTCTCTCCAGCAGGGAGGTCAGACTGCCCTCCTGAGTACAGCCTCTGTGAGAAAAACCTTAAATGGTGAGGACTTTGAAGGTCTAGACCATAAGATACAGATTGAGTATGAGGTGTTGGGAGCTGAAGAGTGTTGCCCCCAAAATCATGTTGATGTCCTAACCCTCAGTTTCGCAGAATGTGAACTTAAGTGGTGTTGGGGTCATTGCAGATGTAATCAGTTAAGGTGAGTCATGCTGCAGTGGGGCAGGGTGAACTCCTAGCTGGGCTTGACTGGGGTCCTTACAAAAGGGAGAATTTGAGCATGCGCACGTCCACCCAGAAGGAAGCAGGCGAGGATTGGAGTTCTGCTCCCAGAACTCCAGATGCCAGTGAAGGCCTGGACCATCCCCTTCCCTAGTGCCTTGCAGGAATGTAGCCCTGCCAGCTCTTGCTTCAGACTGCTAGTTTTCAGAACCACAGGACGTAAATCTCTTCTAAGTCATTCAGTCTGTGGCACTTGGGTTACAGTAGCCCTCGCAAACTGAAACAGAGGGGAAAGTGTCCACCTCTGACAGGGTAACTGACAGGTGTACAGGGATGTGAGAAATGGCCATCTTCAGAGACCTTCTATTACAAGGCTGCCTGATAGGCAGCCGTGGACATCAGAGAGGAGGGACTGGAGTTGAGAAAGTAAAACCCGCATCCGGGCGTGACTGAACAAGAACTTTTGGGCGGCACTGGGAAGCTGGTTCTCCCTCTCCCCGGGTGCATAAAGACAGGCTAGATAAAACATTCTTTCAGACTTGTGCTTTCACTAGAGTCCATTAGCCTGGACCAGAATCTTCTGGAGGGCTTATAAACACAGATGACTCTCCTAGCCCTTCACTCACAGCTTCTTATTCTATAGGTCTTGTGGGGGAGACTTGAGAATTTGCATTTCTCAGCAGGTGATGCTGATGCTGCTGGTTCAAGATTTCATTGCAAAAGTGAATCACTGTTTAAAGGTGTGGTTCTCAGCCCTGCCTGTGCAGAGGGATCACCAGGAGAGCTTCCACCACTCCTGCTGCCTGGGTGCTACCCTGGGCTCCTGTGTAACTGGTCTAGGGTAGGGTTCAAGTTCTGGTGGTGGTGCTTTATTTTTTTAACAGTCTCCTTGGTGAAGCAAACATGCAGCCAGAGAGGAGAACCAGTGCTCAGTGGGCCCCAGACATTTGAGGAAATAAACTCTTAGTACATATATTCTAGAAATTGTTCCTCATTGTGACAAACAAAAATATATATAAGTTAAAAAAAAAAAGGCAATTGTCCCTTAACTTCCTGCCACACTTTGAACACTATAACTGCTGCTCTTCCATCTCCTCTGTTGCTCCTGACATAGTTACACTGGCTAAAGAGAGGGGGGAGTTCATTCCTCAAAGGAAAGGAAAAGTGGGGGCCTCCCTGGTGGCGCAAGGGAAGCTATCCGCACAGCACTATGAAGCTATCCGCAGCCTCTGAAGCACAAGTTCGATCCCTGACCAACCAGGGAGATACCCATATGGCACAGCAGACCTCTCTTGGCTTGCCCACTGCTCCCCTCAGCAGTGTATTTCAGTAGATCTGCTTGTTCTGCTCCCCTCTCTGTCTCTGGTGAATCCTCTCATCCCCCACACTCTGGCCTGTACGCCAGTTCCTGTATGCATAAATAAATAATTTAAAAAAAAAAAAAAAGGAAGGAGAAGAGGAATTCCTTGAAACTCTAAGCTTTAAGAGACAAACCTTCCAGCTGCTTTAAAACTTGAAGTTAGGGGCCTCCCTGTTGGTGCAAAGGGTTACATCTCAGTGCTATCAGGTACTGAGGCCTGAGTTCCATCCCTGGCCAGGGAGGTGACCCACATGGCACAGCAGACCTCTCCTGTCTTGCCCACTGCTCCCCTCAGCAGTGTGTTCAGTAGATCTGCCTGTTTTGTTCCCCACTCTGTCTCTGGTGAATCCTCTCACCCCCCTGTACCACTGGCCTGTACCCCAGTTCTTACATGCACAAATAAATAAATCTTAAAAAAAAAAAAAAGAAAAAAAACTTGAAGGGGCCTCCCTGGTGGCGCAGCAGGTTAAGCGCCACGCTGTGAAGCTGTCGGCAGCCTCTGAAGCGCGGGTTCAATCCCAGCTGGTCTGCAAGAATCCCACATGATGCGGCAACCTCTCCTGTTGCACCCACTGCTCCCCTCAGCAGTGTATTTCTGTCGTCTGCCAGTTCTGTTGCCCGGTGTGTCTCTGGTGAATCCTCTCACCCTCCCGTGCATCTGGCCTGTACCCCAGCTCTTGTATAAAAATAAATCAATCTTTAAAAAAAAAAACAAAAACTTGAAATTGGGTCTAAGCAGCCTAAACCTCCTGAACCCCCACTTTAACAGCCAGCATGCAGGTAGGAAAGCAGGTTCTGGAGGGAGCTCCTCTGAGTTCCACCCTCATGGTGGTGTGAGCCATCATGTGCTCAGCCCCCCTGTGCTCCAGTGACCTGGAATAGAAGAAAGGGAGAGGGCCTCTTGCACTGAGCTGCGATGATCAAGGCAGGTGGGAGGCTCAGGATAGTGTCCGACACAAAGATGGGAATTTTTGTGCCTTGAAATTTCAGCCTTTTTGTGACGTATGCTCATCTTACAGGTGAGCAAAGTTCAGTGTATTTGTCCAAGGTCTAGTAGCTGCCCAGGGCACAGGAGGACCTGGACAGGTGCCTGCTTAAGGCGAGAGGCCTGCCCCTTGGCTGACAGGGCGGAAACTGTGCTCCACAGGTTTGCTGACAGGTGAATTATCAAACAGTCCCAAATCTGAAAATAAGGCCGCAAAGAGTGAAGGTGCAAGTGACCAGAATTTCAAGTTTTGACAGGGCGGAGTGAGAGGAAATTCAGAAGAGCCCTCTCGTATCCTGGGAGACAGAGCAGGTGCTGAGATGAGTTTTGGGGTGGGGCAGGAGATATGATTGTATCTGCCTCAGACTTCAGGCTAAGGGAGAGTTGAGACTGGAGGTGACGACGCCTGGGATTCTAGTTTTTTCAGCAAATTATAAAATTCGTATTTGTGTATCTGAGGTCTTGGGGATACGGT